AAACCTTTTTAGGGGTTACCAATGTGAACTACATGCATGTTGTTGTAAAACAAAGTCACAAGTCACATCAAAAGTTTTATGTATAAAAAGTCAATATTGTTTCAACAAATATTCAAAACGTATATTTCTATTTAACAGAAAATAGACTCGTTGTAAATATTGACTATCCTGGAATTGAAGTTAGTGCTCTGTAAGTAGGTAGGTACTTAAGTGTTTACAAATATCGCAAATTTTTATTGAAGTAGTTTATATTGTTTATTTACTGATACCTACAGCTACAAATCACAAGTGGAAATTTACATGAAACGACTAAATTTATTTATTTACTTCTATTCTACTAACCTTTTCATTAATGTGTATTTTTATAGATACAAGTTAGAGGAACTGTTTACTTAAATTAGAATTAAACTGTCCCATTATTAATAATGATTATGCTACGATCGATAGATTTTACGTCGTATATGTGTAGGGATATATGCAGAATAATGTGCATTTAAGTGGATCGAATAATTTACTTTCTATAAACGTATTGCCAATATCTCACAATTAATTGCATTATCTTCTGAAACATCAAGAAAATTGTAAATACTAATAATGTCGCGTGGAATCGAGGATGAAATAGACATCCTTAGTTTTCTGATAGCCTTCAATGTCTCCTGTCGCTATATTTTCACTGATTCCAGAGACACTATTATTTAATTTTAATGATGTTGATTATACGAATTATTTCGTTTATTAATAAAGGTGTTGTATAATAATAATCGACTAATAAAAAACTACGAATTTGTTGAAGATTGTGATCCGTTAAAAGAGAAAGGAAAATAAAGTTACGATAACTTTAGTTTCACACATCATACTTGTCCAGACGGTAGGGGTGTTTTTTTGATAAGTGAGGTTATATCGATTAGGTTACGTCACAAAGTAATTAATGGCGGACTAAAGGCACCACAATGCCAGATTGGAAAAGAAATTAGTAATTTACTTTCTATAAAAAGTATTGCCAATATCTCATAATTAATTGCATTATTTTCTGAAACATCATCAAGAAAATTTTAGATAGTACTAATAATACTATCGAATTCACTGTTGAATCCAAATTCTATTTTTATTTTCGTTGCTCTGGTAATAGATAATAAGCAATTAAATATTCAAGTGATAATCAATTAATTAATGATTTAACTAAATAATCACAGGTCATGAAAGCCGGGCTTGAAATGTGAAGCTTAACCTCAATATTAAAATTTGTATGGTTGCTTATGAATTTCCGGATTTTACAATACTTCTTAGTTAGTTTGTTTAAAACCAAAGTTGTCTCTGGATAATATACAATAGATGAAATTGTACCTTGCGGCTTTTTTCAAAATATCTGCTAGAAGTAGATCAAAAAAAGGCAACATCGAGCCTATAGCTATAATCCCGATTCCTTTGTGACTCGGTAAGGGGCTGTTCTAAACGAGATATGTCTCGGAAAATTGAAAAAAACACGGTTTTTTGCATTTCTAAAGGTGATGCCCAAAAATATCACTTGCGTTGAAGAAACTTCAAAATACGCGTATTTTTTAAATAAAAATCGTTGATCTTATAATTTGCGGCTCGAAAATGAAAAGAAAACAATTTTTCTGCAAGTTTTTGACCATGAAGAAAGGTTCTAAAAAAGTCTAAAAAATATCAGACAAGTGTGCAATTTAACTTTGCATACTCATGAATTTTTTCAATTTTTTTGCCGCATAAGTTCTTAAGTAAAAAAATTATAAACCGTGAATAATGTGAGCCAGGTAGGATTCGGGATGCTAGATATGGCTCAAGGTTATTGTTTTTGATGTACCAATAAGGTCTAGGAAAGAAAGGTCTTGGAAAAAACCGCGAGGTACAATTTCACCTATTTTGTCTAGGGATACCCTTCACTTTGATGATTTAACACACTGAATAATTAAAAAAAAGGTAATTAACATTTTTAATAAGTAATTATAATGCGTTTGATACTCTGAAATGTTCCTTTTTAATAACAAGTTAGTTATACTTTATTAAAAGATGTTAAAGTGCTAAAGTGCACAGTTGATGAAACATATTTTTCTAGTTCCAACTCCTGTTAAGGATGTTTGGGAGGTATGTCAAAATGCTACGAGACAAATAAAAATTTGGACGATCAATTCTAAAACTCCTGCAAAAATTACAAATCGATTCACTAAACCGTTAAACAGTAATTGAAATTTTAAAAAATTGTAATTTTACACGTCATTTTATGGAGATTCGTTAACCGAATAGATTAAATTTATTTTTATTAACAGAAAAAAAGCTACCAGAAATTTCAAACTTTTATAATAAGTAACTTGAACTCTGGAGAATCACTTTAGCGTAAGGTT